ACAGGGAGCTCTGACGTGGGCTGGTCCATGAGGTCACGAAGCGTCTGAAGCAACCGAATGAATAAACAACAGTAACATCATGTCCCCTATCAGACTTGCTTTCTCCAAGCTAAACATCCCCAGCTCCCTAAGCCACTTTTCGTAGGGTTTGGCTTCCAAACCTTTGATCATTTTGGTCACTCTTCTTTGGTCACGTACTAGTTTGCTTCTTGAACTGTGTTGCCCAGAACTGGGCACAGGGTCATTCCAGGTGAGGTCTGACCAAAGCAGAATAGAGCCGGCCTGTGACTTCCCTTGATCTATGCTCTTATTGATGGAGCCTGGAAACACACTGTTGACTCTATATCAGTCTGTGCTTTGATGAAATCTTTTCCTGACACTTACAATGCCTGGTTTGATTGAGTGCAGAGGCCAGGGACCTTCTGAACAGAAAGCATACACTCTACTACCCAGTTAGTCTCTAAAGTGAGAGGAGTTGTAGGCTCTGGAAATGAACTCTTCATTTTTCCATAACTCCAGAGCTATGAGGGCAAATTGGGTCATTGCGTCAAAAGGGAAAGGTACTCTGTATATGCCTAAAGGCCCCTTTTGTTGTTGTTATTTCCATGTGTTGCAGGTCTAAACTGAAAACAAGTTCTTGGCGTAAAGCCTGGTGAGTCAAAGTAAGCCTTGGGCATTATTCTTAAGTATTAGAGGAATCCATGAAAATTCAAAAGAAATGCTCCAGAGCAATATAGTTGTTTCAAAATTCCCAACACTTTTACAAACAACTTGGAAGCTTTTTACAATCAACCAAGAGCGCAAGTCATGCAGATGAATGGCTGACCCTGTAAAAGAGGTTGCAAATTAACTCTGACAGGTGATCATTAAAAGGTTGGCTGCCTCGCCTGCTCTCCCAAAAGGGAACAGGGAAGGATTACCGTTCGAATCATTTGCTTTCTCCTCTGTCACATGCTTCTGCATGTGCCCTTAGCCAAAGAGCCCATTCAAAAGTGCAAGCGGCATACGGCGCAGTCCTCCAAAAGACTGTACCACCCGAGAACGCATAAGGATGAATCTGTTTGGTTCGAGGGACAAAATTCCTAGCAACTCAACAGACCTCCATTTGAAAGACTTACACATCCTAGAGCAGTGGTTCTCAACCTGTGGGTCCCCAGGTGTTTTGTCCTACAACTCCCAGAAATCCCAGCTAGTTTACCAGGTGTTAGAGGACTTCTGGGAGTTGAAGGCCAAAACATCTGGGGACCCACAGGTTGAGAAGCACTGTGGACCTAGAGGATATTTGTCTAGTCTTTCTATGTGCCGCGAGTATTTCAGGCAGAAACAAAGGAAAAACAACAAGGGAACACATCCAGTGTGGGTTTCGAATCACATGTGTATCACAGGCCCATATAGAAGGAGGCCTTGAGTGACTGGTTTGTGGCTCTCTGCCATGTATACATGTGGCAGAAAGCACATGTTCCTGACTGTGCAAACTGGGAAGGGTGGCCACTGCAAGATGCATCAAGCCACCCTGGGAGACTGCCAAGATGAATTAGCTGACTACAAGGAGCAGCCCTTAAAGCGAGAGTTGCTAGTAGCGGAGGAGCATGGATGGACGGAGAAATAGATACAGAAATGAATGACAACAGTCCTTATATTCACAGAAACAAGGCAAAACCAAAGGGAAAACAGTGACTACACTCTGCTGTTTCCAACAGAAAGGACTGTTCCTAGTGCTGGTTTTTCCGCTGACAAGATGCGCTGCTCCCCAGACTCTGCTGTGTGAGTTTTCCACACTGTTCTCCCACTTCTCCCAACAATGCCCATTCTGTTTATTTATTTTGACGTCTTATCTGATGGCTCTGACAATGGTCTCGTGCGGCTGGAATGGCCGGCCATCCCAGGCCAGGGGAGCAAGGAGTGGTTTCCTGTTCCCAAGAGCTGTGTCTCCTTCCAGAAAACGTTTCATGAGGGAACAAGATAAACAAACCCGTGAGAACAAAGCACTTCGCCTGTCAGATGTTGACTGCCATTTATATAAATGACTGTCCTACTCTGAGGAATGACTTCCAAATTCCCGGGACCATCACAGATAGAACGGCTTTTCTTGTTTAGCTTTTGTTGCTGGTAGATAGCTTGATGTATTATTTCTGAGTAAACATATGCAGATTGCTTGATTTACTTCTGAATAAACATGCACAAAATGGTGCTGTTTATACATTGCAGTGCCAATGCTTAGTTCCTAAAAAGTTTGTTTAGGACTCATCACATGGCTTCCCTATTGAAATAGATTATAGGTATACGTAAAAGTGATTTTCTGCTCTCTTTCAGAACATCACCACTTGATGGCCATTTTCAGCAGAATGGTCTGTGTTCCCTCGTAGGCTCTTAAAGTTGTACTCATGTGGGCACTCCTCACAAGAAAATGTTAGGTGGAGACATTTCTGACATTTTCTGGATGTGCGCCTAATAACTGATTCCTGTCAGACAAAATCGTCTTCATGCCTCTATCACAGGTAAAGGTGACTAGGTTATCTGTAATATTTCCATGTGAGGATTCTCATTCCAGAATCATGTTTAACAAGATAACACAAAGACGAGCCAGGGCACTCACAAGGGAGAATCAGCAGATGGGCGGAAAGAGCATTTAACCACAATTACGAATGCTCCACTACATTTTTCCTCCTCACCAGACTTACTTCCAAGTTTCATAGTCCAGCTGAACCATAAGGACAGGATCCCTGACCACACAAATAACATCTGACTTCTCTGAATATAGGGAAGGTAGATTTGGAGGCCACATAACCCTACCTTCTGTACACAGCATTGCTAGAATACCACGGAAAGAAGTCACTGGAACAGGAGTTGCTACTAATGTATAAAGTGGATCTGGAAATAAAGCTCCAATTTAATCTGTGGAATTTACTTTCACAAGAAAGATATTATCAGCCAAAAAGTAACTTTTCCAAACACCAGCCTGAGTGGAATAATATGAACCAACACTCATTGGCTGTGATCTCAGCATGATGGACCCGCCCCATTGGATGGTCATGTCTAAAGCAGTGGTTCCCAACCTTTTTTTGACCAGAGATTACTTTGACCAGAGACCATTTTGACCAGGGACCACTCTTCAACATTAGTAACAAAAGGGTTACAAATCAGATTTTGGTCAACTGTAGATTCAGTTTGGTTATTTGGGGTGCTGATTCAGAAAATTGCACTGGATAGACTTTATCAGCTCTAGTTTCTGATACAGAACATATGCCATCCAGTAGTCACCCTCTGCTCGCCCACAGAAAACCATATCTAATAATCCAGAGCTGATGTGATAGTAGTAAGCTTTTGTGGGTAGTCAACCTCTCCCCTCCTGACATCCCTGTTGCCTCGGCACTATAAGAGGGTTTTGTGAGACCAGTTTCTCTCGTTGCTGCATGTTTCGAGGCAACAGTGTAGTAATGGTGAGGCTGCGGACCATATTTTTGTTCTTGCAGACCACTGGTGGTCCATGGATCACAGGTTGGGAGCCACTGGTCTAAAGGGAACTTCTATGTATGTTGCTTTGAAGGCAAATGAAATATTTTTGAGAGATCAGGAACCTTGATGTAATAGGTTTCAAGATCAGAGTTTCTCAAATTGTGCTTCCCCAGATGTTTTGGACTTCCACAATTCCTAACAACTGGTAAGTTGGCTGGGATTTCTGGCGGTCGAAGTCCAAAACACCTGGAGGAGCAGAGTTTGAGAAACACTGTTCTAGATTATGCATGTGTTCTACTCCTTCTCAAGTTAACATGCACAGAAGCCTCTCTAATACTGGGCTGTTCAATGTCGCATAGAGAGGTGGAAATGGGTTGTAGTCACTGCCACTTACCTCATACAGGTTTGGCCTTCCTTTTGGGTCACAACACAGGAACAAGGCTCTGTTTGTTCATGATCTGAATGTCCAGGGGCTTGTATGCCACTGACTACTAGTGGGCGCCATATCTATATCGATAAGCTGTGTGCATTCAAGTGGAATCTCACTTATTCAAGTGACCCTATCACAGGGCTTTCCTGGAAAAGGGTCCTTTCACATTGCTAAGGTATAGTACTATGATTCCACTTTAAATGTTATACCCACACATCCTATAGAATCCTGGAATTTGGAATTTGTGGAGGCACTCAAGACTTCAAATTCCCCAATTCTATAAGATGGAACTGGAGCTCCCGGTGGGCAGTGGGTTAAACTGCTGAGCTGCTGAACTTTCTGACCGAAAGGTCATAGGTTCCAATCCGGGGAGTGGTGTGAGATCCCACTGTTAGCCCCAGCTTCTGCCAACCTAGCAGTTCGAAAACATGCAAATGTGAGTAGATCAATAGGTACTGCTCCGGCAGGAAGGTAATGGCACTCCATGCGGTCATGCTGGCCACCTGACCTTGGTGGTGTCTACGGACAACACCAGCTCTTCAGCTTAGAAATTGAGATGAGGACCAACCCCAAGAATTGGACACGACTGGACTTAATGTCAGGGGAAAACCTATAAGATGGAACTATAAAACAAGTGGAATCATGATGTTTTAATGTTTGTTGCAAGAGGACTGCAGATTTATACTAAGAAGGTGAGCCATTGCTTTCCTCTAAAACTGAGAGGATGTAACTTGTCCCAGGTTACTCAATGGGTTTCCATGGCCAAATGGGTATTCGAGTCTCCTAGAGTTCTAGGGTGCATCTACACTAGAATGAATGCAGCCTGGCACCATTTCAACTGCCATGGAATCATGGGAGTTGTAGTTTTCCATGACCATTGCCCTGATCGGCCAAAGTGTGCTGATACTCACCAAACCATAAAGTGTTATATCTACAATATAAGATGCAACCCAAATCCAGCACTCAAACCATTACACTATGTAGGCTCTTCTATATTTATATATAGAATCACAGAGCTGGAAGAGCCCACAAGGGCCATCTAGTCCAACCCCCAGAGATGTTTCTTTGTTCCGAGTTTAGTGTTTCCAGAAAACACGTGTATGGCTGATTTTACCTGGCCTGACTGGACTCTGCATGCAGTTTTGAGTGACCATGGTTGGGTGGACCGACGTGGATGCTCTGCTGCTGAGGTCCACCACCGAAGGGGGCGACGCTGAGGTAGCTTGCTGGAGAGCGGGCTGGTGAGGACTGTGGTCATGCTGGGCTGGACTGGGCGGAATGCCGTTCTCTGAGAGAAACTCTTCCAGGTCCATGTATTCCAACTGGAAAGTGTCACCATCGTATGGAAGAGTCTTGTCCCACAATGTCGGGCCCAGGAAAGCCGACTGCGGGACAGTGGCACTGTTACTGTCATCGTCCAACTTTTTGTCTTTGTCCTTCTCTTTATAAAAAGCTAGAAGGGAAGAAAAGGGGGAAAAAACAGGAAGGGAAGTTAGAATTTTTACCAAAGTATTTTTGAACTGTTTCATTGTCTGGGAACAAAAAAATCCCACAAAGTTTTTCATGGATTTTTACATTAAAAAAACAAAACAAAACAAAACTCTCTATCTCTCTTTCTGGCTTTACGTTTGGTATAGAATTCAAAGATCTCTGGATATATTTCCAGCTCATTAAAATCGATGCCTGGCTCCCACCTCTGTTTTTAATTAGCAATTCTTCTGCGTTCTTGGCTTCGAGCAAATGTAAGCTTCAAACGACAACACTCTGAAATCTCATCAGAACATTTAAACCCAAAGACAGAACGGGGGGGGGGATCAGAGAAAGGGGTGCCTTTGGGGCACAATCCATGAGGAAATTCTCTAGTGCAAAAATATATAAAGAAAGAAAAGCAAAATGAATTGGAGAAACATGAGAGCACTACACTACGTGTTTCTAATGCTCCCTGATATTCATTTCAATGAGGCTCACACTGGAGGGAGAGCAAAGTTTTTATTTCTAAGCTTGAATAATTTATCTTAAAATGCTGAAACCTTCAAAAAAAAGTTCAATGATATTATTCCCAATACATAATAATTAAGTCAGTATACACTAGCAAGGAACGGCACAGCCTTGTGTACATCTGCTCGGAGGTAATTAGCTACTTTGGGTTTCAATCAAATGAGAAAAGCAGGGTTGTTTTGTGTGTGTGTGTGTGTCAGGAGCGACTTGAGAAACTGCAAGTTGCTTCTGGTGTGAGAAAATTGGATGTCAGCAAGGATTTTGCCCAGGTGACACCCAGATGTTTTACCATCGTGAGGGAGGCTTCTCTCATGTCCCTGCATGAGAAGCTGGAGCTGACAAATGGGAGCTCACCCCACTCCCCGGATTCAAACTGCCAACATTTCAGTCAGCAGTCCTGCCAACACAAGGATTTAATGCACTGTGCCACCAGGGGCTCCCTATTATTATTATTATTATTATTATTATTATTCCTTGTGAGTGGCTACTAGGAGGTGTGCTGTTGGACTCACTCATAGAAAATAGCGTATAGAATATACAGCCTAAGTTCTAAAACAATAAATGCAGTTAGAAACTGATTTGTCTTCAAACTAAGGGTGCAACTACAGTGCAGAATGAATGCAGTTTAATACCACTTTAACTGCCATGGCTGAGTGCTATTGGATCCTGGGATTCATAGTTTGTTGTAGCCCCAACACACTTTGGCATGAAGGGTTAAAGACTATGTAAAACTACAATTTCCATGATTTCATGGCAGTTAAAGTGGGGTCAAACTGCATTCATGCTATGGTGTAGATGCATTCTAAGATATGAAAAAATGGCAAAGGCTCAAACAAGCACTTGCAAGTAAAGGATCATTAGTTGTGGAGGTGGGTGTCTCCATAGATTTTTAAAGATGGAATTACACAACCATATAATCCAGAGTATCAAAGTAAATAATCCACATTATCTGCCTTGAACTGGGTTATGTGAGTCTAAAGTAAAGGTAAAAGTTTCCCCTTGACATTAACTCTGGTCATGTCCAACTCTGAAGGATGGTGGTTATCTCCATTTCTAAGCCAAAGAGCCGGTGTTGTCCGTAGACACCTCCAAAGTCATGTGACCGGCATGACTGCATGTAGCACCGGAGCAGTTCCTATTGATCTACTGACATTTGCATGTTTTCGAACTGCTAGGTTGGCAGAAGCTGGGCCTAACAGCAGGAGCTCACCCCACTCCCCGGATTCGAACCGCCGACCTTTCAGTCAACAAGTTCAGCAGCTCAGCAGTTAACCCACTGCACCACCTGGGGCTCCTTTATATCAGTCTACACAACCATATAATCCAGTTCACAGTAGATAATCTGGGTTTTATATGGCAGTGTATATCCAGTTTATGTGAAACTTTCCAAAACAAAAGTAGGATTAAGATTTATTAAATTCTCTTGTGGGCCAAACCGTTCCTAACACAGGAAAACTTTGATTAGCTCTTGCAAAATTTGTTTATAACTCCATGGCAGCTGAGGTCCAGAAGAACTTTAGACTCTTCTATCTTCAGTCCTGTATAAATCACGTATTTTTGGATATGAATCTCTTTCTCTCTCTGCCTGGCACCATGCCATCTCCAAATGTATCTACAATGTTCCCTCACTTATCACAGGTGTTACGTTCCAGGACCACACGCGAAAAGTGAAAATCCGCAAAGTAGGGACGCTATATTTATTTTAATATTTATACATTATTTTTATAATTATATTTATATAATTATATTTAAACATTATATATTTTAATTATATTTATATAGTTATATTTAATTATTTTAATATTTATTTTAATATTTATACACCCTCCCCGCACACTTATAGACTCCATAACCCTCCCTGAATGTGTTCTTCATGTAATTCTCGGCTCCGGTTTTATCCACAGAGGCAGCCTCTCCATACAGACCAATGCTCTTAAGTGCATATTGAAAAACCGCGAAATAACGAGTCCGCAAAAAGCAAACCGTGAATTAGCGAGAGACCACTGTATTTGCCTGGAGCCAAGGGCGGAGATGAACACACACACTCACACCAGAAAGGGGAATTTTCAAATGGGAAAATGGCTTAGGGGTAGGGGAGTTGAATAATATCCCTTTTCTCCCTACTACTGGGAACAAAAGGTCACTGCTATGCTTCAGGGTTAAGTCAAGAGATCTAATCAAGGATCTCTGGTTGTACTTGTGGTCTGGCTCTTGCTTCCGGGTAAAAACTGGGTTTAGAACTGAGATCTAGGAAAGTTGTCTCTTTTGGCAAGAGGTGACCAAAAATTTCTGAGAAAGCAATTATACATTTCTCAAAAAAAGAAAGGATTTAACCTAGAATATTATAATAATAATAATTAACAATTAATTAATTAATATTTATTATAATTATTATAATAATACAAAAATTCAGCATACATATCTCGTTTGCTGTGTTTTGTGTCAGTAAAATACTACTACTAATAATAATAATTATACAAAAATCCAGCATATATATCTTGTTTGTGTCAGTAAAATAATAATAATAATAATAATAATAATAATAATAACAATAATAATAACAATAATAATAATAATTTATCGTGTCACGAGTGAACCAAAACAGTTGTGTTGCATTAAAAACAAACAAACAAACAAAACACAAAGTTTGCAGACTTGGTATTCTATTAAATGTCCTTTGACCAGTAGCTGGCCACTTGGATAATAATCTAATAATTTATTATAATTTATTTGTAGACCACCATGTCTCCCCGAAGAGACTCAGGGTGGTTTCCAGCATCTATGGCAAACATTCAATGCTAGTTGAATGGTACTAGCAATGCTCCTACATATGTGTTCTCAGAAGAAACTCAGTGAGATTATGGGTGCCTCTACACCAGGCATGGGCAAACTTCGGTCCTCCAGGTGTTTTGGACTTCATCTCCCACAATTCCTAACGGCCTACCGGCTGTTAGGAATTGTGGAAGTTGAAGTCCAAAACACCCGGAGGACCGAAGTTTGCCCATGCCTGCTCCACACTGTAGAATTAATGCAGTTTGAAACTACTTTAACTGCTGTGGCTCAATGCTATGAAGTCCTGGGAGTTGTAGTTTTGTGAGACACCAGTTCTCTTTAGCAGAGGAGTCTACAGACCTTGTAAAACTACAACTTCTATGATTCCATAGCATTGAGACAGGGAAGTTAAAGTGGGGACAAATAGCATTCATACTATAGTGTAGACGTACCCTTCGCCTCAGGTATAGAGGACTACAGCCTTAGGGAATACAGTGCAGCTATAAAGAAATGTGTCTCCAAACTTAGCTAAGTTCTCAAAAGTGTCCACTCCTCAAATGTGGTTCATAATAAATTGTTGTTTAATACTATAGTTATTATATGATATGCAGGATGTATGTTAATTCACTGGACCAAATTTGGCACAAATACCCAATATGCCCACATTTGAATACTGGTGGGGTTGAGGGGGGAATTGTTTTGTCATTTGGGAGTTGTAGTTGCTGGGATTTATAGTTAACCTACAATCAAAAAGTATTTTGAACTCCACCAATGATGGAATTGAACCAAACTTGGCACACAGAACTCCCACAATCAACAGAAAATACTGGAAGAGTTTGGTGGGTATTGACCTTGAGTTTTGGAGTTGTAGTTCACTTACATCTAGAGAGCACTGTGGACTCAAACAATGATGGATCAGGACCAAACTTGGCACAAATACTCAATATGGCCAAATGTGAACACCGGTGGAGTTTGGGAGAAAAACAGACCTTGACATTTGGGAGTTGTAGTTGCTGGGATTTATAGTTAACCTACAATCAAAAAGTATTTTGAACTCCACCAAAGATGGAATTGAACCAAACTTGGCACACAGAACTCTCACAATCAACAGAAAATACTGGAAGAGTTTGATGGGCAATGACCTTGAGTTTGGGAGTTGTAGTTCACCTACATCCAGAGAGCACTGTGGATTCAAACAATGATGGATCAGGACCAAACTTGGCATGGGTACTCAATATGCCCAAATGTGAACACCAGTGGAGTTTGGGAGAAAAATAGACCTTGACATTTGGGGGTTGTAGTTGCTGGGATTTATAGTTCACTTACAATCAAAGAGCATTCGGAACCCCACCAAGGATAGAATTGGGCCAAACTTCCCACACAGAGCCCCCATGATTAACAGAAAATACTGTGTTTTGTGATGGTCTTTGGCGACCCCTCTGACACTCCCTCAAGACCCCCAGCTTGAGAAACGCTGCTTTAGTCCCAGAGCTTTGAGCCATGCGAGTGAAAGTGGAGTCAAACTGCATTAATTCTACAGCGGAGATGCTCCCTCTTGCTATAAGCCCAAGCAAAAGGTGAGTGAGTCTTAATTCAGAACAAACACCACAAGACACACCTGAAATCTTTCTTTTAGAGTGGATCTACACTGTAGAATTAATGCAGTTTGACTCCACTTTTGGCTCAAAGCTCTAGGATCATGGGAGCTGGAGTTTGACAAAGCCTTTCACCTTACCTGCCAAAAAAGCAATGTTGCCTCAGCAAACTACAACTCCCAGGATTCCAGAGTATGATAGAGCTAAAGTGGTGTGCAATGGGGGTGTCTCTGTGGTCCTGCCAAAGAGAAAAACTAATCCCAAACTCCAATCCAAAGCAGTTCAAACTGCATTAATTCTGCAGCCTTGGACCAAACCAAGCAGCCCTCTTGCCCAGATTTCCAGCTGATGGACAGAAATAACCCTGAGGGTGAAGAGGAGGAGGAGGAGGAGGACGAAGAGGAGGCTGGCAGCTGGCATGTTGTTTAGCTTCATGCCCCTGCCAAGCGATTACACACACACACACACACACACAAAAGTCCTGCCCGGATACTGTTTATTTGGAAGCAAACTCTATATAAAGTCCGAAAAGGATTGCCACGGAATGCAAACGCTATCCCAGGATAAACTTAAAAGAGTGTCTACATCAGGCAGGGGCCAACTTCAGCCTTCCCTCCAGGTGTTTTGGACTTGAACTCCCACAATTCCTAACAGCCGGTAGGCTGTTAGGAATTGTGGGAGTTGAAGTCTAAAACACCTGGAGGGAAGGCTGAAGTTGGCCCCTGCCTGGAATCAGTGCAGTTTGACAACACTTTCAACTGCTGTGGCTCAACTAACTCCCAGGATTCCATAGCATTCAGGTCTGTAGAATCAACCCGCGTTAATTCTACAATGTAGATGCTCCCGAGCTAGGAAGGGGTAAACAAACATCCAAATACTGGAAGTGGCCTGGATCAATTAAAGCCGAAACGGCCGGCGATGGTTGTGACTTCTCTACACTGTCGAGTTAACGCAGTTTCATCCCGCTTTAACCGCCATGGCTCAGTGCTATGGAATGGATAGATATGCAGCGGGGAGTGCAGTTTGACAACGCTTTCACCTGCTATGGCTCAACTAACTCCCAGGATTACATACCCTTTGAGCCCTGGCTATAAAAGTAGTATCAACCCGCGTTAATTCTACAATGTAGATGAGCCCGAGCTGGGAAAGGGTAAACAACTATCCAAAGGCTGGAATCAGTACAGTTTGACAACACTTTGCTGTGGCTCAACTAACTCCCAGGATTCCACAGCATTCAGCTCTGGCCGAAAAAGTAGAATCAACCCGCGTTAATTCTACAATGTAGATGCGCCCTAGCTAAGAAGGGGTAAACAAACATCCGAAGGTTGGACATGGCCTGGATCAATTGAAGCCGAAACGGCCGGTGCGGGTGGCGACTTCTCTACACTGTCGAGTTAACGCGGTTTCATCCCGCTTTAACCTCCATAGCTCAGTGCTATGGAATGGAGGGATTTGCAGCAGGGACTATAAAGGCACTGCACTCCCAGGAACTCCAGCGGGGTCAAACCTCAGTGTGGAGGCGAAAGACCTTGCAATACTCCAACTCTTCTGGAGCCAATGGAGTTGGGAACCTGACAACGTCAAGCGGGATCAACCCGCGCTCCTTCCCCAGCGCAGACGGGCCCTTGAAGGAACTCCCCAACCCAACCCCCCCCCCCAACCTGGCGGGCTCTCACCGTCTTCGTGGTGCAGCGGGAGCTTGAGCGGGTTCTCCAGCAGCGACTTGAGCACCCCGTAAGTCGGAGGCAGGAAAGAGGGGTTCAAGGAGAGCGGCCGAGCCATGCTTCTTCCCTCTCGGGGATGGTGGAGGGATTGCTCTTCTGCTTCCGAAGATGCCCCGACTTCTTCCTCGCTTGCAGGCGAAGCGGGACCGTCCTCTTGCCCTCTGGAGCCCCCTTTGGCAGCAGCAGCAGCACCGCCGAGGAGGAGGAGGAGGAGGAGGGCGAGGAGGCTGAGCGAGGAGGCGTGCACAAAGCGGGGCAACCCTCCGTCCGTCCGTCCGTCCGCCAGCCAGCCCCGCAGCGCTTTTCCGAGCCTGCCTCGCTCCGCCTCTCTCTCTCCTTCTCTCCTTCTCTCCCTCCCTCCGCGCTCAGCCCAGTTGCGCCTCCATGTGCTGACACTGACAGCCGTGACGTCAAAGCCCCCCCCACCTCAGAGAAGCGAGGAGTCCGCCAAGTCCTAGCGCCCGCCCTTTGCCCACTCGCGCACAACCCTGCTTTCCGTCGCCGCCTTCACCACTCACTTGAATTGCCATAGCCTCTCAGTCTGAGTGCTATGCAACCCTGAGATCTGTAGTTTCCAGAGGCACCAGCGCTTTCTGGTAGACAAGGCTGAAGACCTTGCCAAACTACACTGGGTTCATTCTCTAGTGCAGGGGCCCTCAAACTTTTTAAACAGAGGGCCAGGTCACAGTCCCTCAAACTGCTGGATTATAATTTGGAAAAAATAAACATGAACAAATTCCTATGCACACTGCACATATCTTATTTGTAGTGCTAATAACACTTAAAACAATACAATAATTAAAATGAAGAACAATTTTAACAAATATAAACTTAGTATTTCAATGGGAAGTGTGGGCCTACTTTTGGCTGATAAGACAGGATTGTTGTTGTTGTGTGCTTTCAAGTCATGTCAGACCTAGGTTGACCCTGAGCGAGGGCAAATGACCTTGGAGGGCTGTATCCGGCCCCTGGGCCGTAGTTTGAGGACCCCTACCTTGAAGGGCCATATCCAGCCCTCAGGTCTTCGTTTGAGGACCCATGATCTAGTGAGATGGGGTCCTAGGACAGCATCACACTAGAGCAGTGGTTCTCAACCTGCTGGTCAACTGGCTGGGATTTCTGGGAATTGTAGGCCAAAACACCTGGGGAGTCACAAGTTGAGAACCATTGCACTAGAGAATGAATCCACTTTAAATACAGTTGCTGCCTCCTGGGGTTTGTAGTTTAGGGAAGAGCCTTTAACCACCTAACAAAACTATAAATCCCAGAATCCTGCAGGAGGCAGAAACTGGATTTAAAGTGGATTCATTCTCTAGTCTGATGGGAATTAAGTCTAGTCATGACATTAAATTTAGTCGTGCCCAACACTGGGGGGTGATGATCATTTCCATTTCTAAGCTGAAGAGCCAGTGTTGTCTGTAGATGCCTCCAAGGTCATGTGGCCAGCATGACTGCATGGAGAGGTTACTTTCCCTCCAGAGCGGTACCTATTGATCGACTCACATTTGCATGTTTTTGAACTGCTAGGTTGGCAGAAGCTGGGGCTAACAGTGGGAGCTCACCCCACTCCCCTGATTTGAACCACCAACCTTTCAATCAGCAAGTTCAGCAGCTCACCTGTTTAACCCGCTGCGCCACCAGGACTCATATAATCCAGTCTAAAGCAGAAAACCTGGGATCATATCCTGGGATATAGTAATAGCAATAACAACAACAACAACAACACTTTATTTATATTCTGCCATATCTCCCCAAGGGGACTCTGGACAGTTCACAGTATGCATACAACGGCAAACATTCAATGCCACTTGGACAGACAGGGACTGTCTGGAAAGGCCCTCAGTGCTATGCAATCCTGGGATCTGTAGTTTGGACTTTTTGGAAGAGAAGGCTGAAGACCTCATCAAACTACATTATGTATGTTACATGATTTGTTTGTGTGTGTTGAAGCTTGTTTTTGCAAGACACCCTGCAGCACATTTTGCTATAGTTTTTCAATGACTATCTCAACCAATCCAACCTATTTTGTGGCAGCTACAAAAAACAAAGTTTCTGAAGGACGACAACTACTTTCAAAGTAAGTACCATGTAATTAAACAGGAAAGATTCCTTTCTAATCACCAACAGGACAGTTTTCTAATTTTGTTACATAGTGCTATAGCTCCCAGCATTGCCTTGCACTGAACCCTGGCAGTTATAATGGGATCACACTGCATTCATTCTACAGCAGTGGTTCCCAACCTGTGGTCCATGGACCACCAGTGGTCCCCAAGAACTAAAAAATGGTCCATGTCCTTGCAGTTACTACATCGATGCAACAAGAACGACTTCTCTCTCAAAATCCTCTTATAGTGCTGAGGCAATGGGGATGTCGGGAGGGGAGAGGTTGATTACCCACGAAAGGTGCCTCCTGACAACTGCTTCTCCTCCCTCCCTGAGTAGAGCCATTGTATATGGAGCACCTTGGTGTCTTCTTTTTTAGGCCTGTTCCTGGGGTTATTTGGGGTGCTGATTCAGAACATTGCATTGGATAGACCACATCAGCTCTAGATTATTAAATACTATAGTTTTCTGTGGGACTACTGGATGGGATATGTTCTGTATCAGAAACTAGAGCTGGTGTGGTCTATCCAATGCAATGTTCTGAACCAGCATCACAAACTGAATCTAAAGTTGACCAAAAACTGATTCGTAACCCTTTTGGTACTAATGTTGGAAAGCAGTCCCCGATCAAAGTGATCTGTGGTCAACGTAGTCCCCGGTGAAAGTGATCCCTGGTCAAAAAAAGATAGGGAACCATGGTTCTACAGTATGTACTCTTAATAAATCATGTAGAAAGCAGGTAGGTCTTAATTTGGAATAAACATGCATAAAGGCTGAAGGATAAGATACCATTTTGGTGCATCTGCACTGTAAAATCTCCTGCAGGAGAGATAAAGTGGGGTATAATAATAATAATAATAATAATAATAATAATAATAATAATAATAATATGCCACACTAACTGCCGTGGCTCAGTGTTGTGAAATCCTGAGAGCAGGCCTGTAGCGAGGGGGTGGTTTTAGGGGTTCAACCCCCCCCTGAAATGTTTCAGATTTTTTTAAAAAAAACCTGGTTTACTCATGAATTTTAACTGGTTAACCAAATCCCCATGCTAAGTCTATGAGATGCAAAAAATTAAGAGTCCCTCCAGAACTGTAAGCACTATCTCAAGCAAATATTGACAATTTATTCACACTGTCATTACTTGCAGCAATAGCCGATGTAGTGAAGCAATCAAGTTGGGGGTGTGTGTGTTGAATACTCCCATTAAGGAGGCCAGACTTGGTGGGGGTGGTTGACAGGGGCAGAGCTTCAGGCTATTGAAGGCTGCTCTGCCCCCTGCTGTGCTCTTTGCTTCAGCGTGAGCTAGGAGGCAGGTTTCAACCCCCCCCCCAAATTTTCAACCCTCAAATTTTCAACCCCCCCCCAAAATTTTCAAACCCCCCCCCCCGAAATTGCCAACCCTCCCCGAAATTTTTTTCTGGCTACGGCCCTGCCTGAGAGTTGTAATTTTAGGCTCCATTTACACTGCCATATAATCCAGTTTCAGCATGCAGATTAACTCATACAATCCAGTTCAATCTGCACTATATGAGTCTACCACTGACCATTATAATAGAGTTCAAACTGAATTATGTGGCAGTGTAGGTAGGGCCTTAGTGAAACAGCAGCACTCTTTGGCAGAGAATGCATGTAAAACTAGAAATCCCATGATTTCCTAGCACTGAGCCACAGCAGTTTAAACTGGAGTCAAACTGCATTAATTTTCAGTAAAGACACATCTCAAGTTGTCACCCCTATGGATCTTCTCCCATACCAGGTAACACCGCCACATTGTAGGTAAAGTACAGGCTTAGTATCCAGAATTCTGAAATACTCCAAAAATTCAACATTGTTTCGAGGATGGGAGAGATACTGATATCTTTGCTTTGTGGTGGTTTGGTGCTCACAGGCTTTGTTTTGTGTACAAATTATTGAGGAAAAAATATGTATAAGGGGAAAATGAAACATCAAAATAGACTTGGGTCCCATATCCAAGATGATGATGGTGATGATGATGATGATAACTTTATTCTTACAGCCTGGCACCATCTCCCTGAAGGGACTCTGGATGGCTCACATATGGGACAAAATGACCACAGAACATCAAAACAAATCAATCCATTAAAGTAAAATCACAATTAAAAATAAGAGCATAGTAAAATATAAAAGATAAAAGCACAATTAAAATAAAACAAAATACAAAACAGCAGTGTTGGAACTCAGTGAAAATAATGCTCAACAAGATATTTGATATGTATAGGAAAATGCAGGTATTGCAAAATGTGGGGAAAATCCCTAACAATGCTGGCTGGGCTGCTATCAACCTCTCAGCATACAGCAATGCAAAAGCATATCATTTTTGAACTAATCTTGCAGTGATAGGGTCACTTTAGGGTCACCATGTGGCTGGGAAGGCACTCAGCAACAATCTAAACTCTAGAAAAGCTTTACAAAGCCACTGTGATTATAGGCTGTGTCAATATATAGTGTATAGTGTTGAGATCGAGGGAAGATATAGTCCCACTCTGTTTTGTGTTGGTCAGACCTCCCTGGAATAAGACTGTGTCCAGCTGGGCACTGAAATGCAAGACAAATATTGTGACAAGTTGGAAGGTGTCCACAGGAGGGTGACCAAAATTATCTAAAGCCTAGAGATCATGAATCCCTTTTAGGAGTGGTGTAAAGAGCTAAGTCTTTTTGGCCTGCAGGAGAAGACTGAGAGGAGACATCATTGCTGTGTTTAAATTTGTAAAACAGTGCCATACTAAAGAGGAGGTAATCTTGTTTTTTGCTGCTCTGGAACCAGGACATGGATTAATGGATTCCAAACTGCAGGAAAGGGGATTCAACCTGAACATGAGGAAGAACTTCATAATGGTAAAAACACAGTAGAATAAGCTGCATTTGAGTCTCCTTTGGGTTTTTTAAAAGCAGAGGCTGGATGGCTATCTGTCAGGGGTGCTTTGATTGTGT